TGTCGACAGGTGAGGTTAATATTTGACACAAACAAATACACAAACCTACACAACAATAGCAATGGTTTTCATCATATCATTATCATTTTTTTTAATTTGATTATTGTACATATTTTATATGAAAACCATATGAATTTAGCCCAATAATCATAATAGTAAGGTATGATTCAACATTTAATTGATGATGAACATGCTAAAATTCAACTTTTTGCATTTTGGTTAGATCGTGCAAGCTTTTTACGTGACCTCGTACCATTATATAATAATCATATTTTTTTTTCGTTTATTTGAATTTTTATTTTGGAAGTGAAAAAATAACTAGTCCATTGAATTAATATGGTTTGATTGGTGTACTCCCTTGTTTGCGTTTCTTTTTCTCACTTTTTTTCGTTCGTTCGTCATAATCAAGCAGATTACAACTGAACATGATGTCGAAAAAATTGTTTCAGAACTAAAAAAAAAATGTAAATGAAGCTTTACCGAAAAAAACATCGGAATATGCATGCACACATACACACACGCAACAATTTTCTGTAATAATCATTGTTTTTATTTCCAACATCAAGGCGTTTGCATAGATGTAAAAACATGAACAAATATTGATGAAAAAATGAAATTCTGATTTTGAAAAAAACTAAACCATATTGATCGTATGGCTGACTTTATGATGTTTATGTTTGTTTTTGTGAACAAACATATTTATCTTATGAAATTTTTACTAATAATAATACCCTATATAATGTAATAAAGTTTATTTATCCCAAATTTTTTACAACAACAACAAAAAAATGACAAACCGGTTTTGTTTTGGTTGTTTGTTGTTTCACGATTTAAATTGAATTAATTACTGATTATGATGAGCAGAATAAATACAGTTTTTTTTGTTGTAAACAAACAGGTCATCAAGCGAAAGTTTTAAACGGATTAATCTATCTGATCAGAAGAAAATGATAATGTAGGAAAAATAAATTCTTTTATTGCTAATGTGAATTGAAATTCTCCTTATCAAAATGTTTGGATTTTTTTTGTTTTGTTTTGTTTTTTTTTCTTGAATGTTGATAATCTATGATTTAGAATCTCATCATCATCATGATAGATGGATGATCATTATATAATCAAAAAAATGTTACCTAAACAAAACGATTATAATCGTCCAGTGTGCATTATTAACACGAATTTTGATTATGATGATGATGATAAGAACCAAAAAGAAGAAACTTTCTTTTTTGTTCATTGCTCTCATTTTCAACTGTTTCATTTCGTATTGGCATTGGTTTTTTTTATATGCATGATGATGATGTTTTTTTTTGTAAAAATCTGGAATGAACCAATATAACATAGATTAAACATAGATTTAGTCTTGTTTTATGGGTGCTTTATTAGTTTCTCTTTCCTCTCTTCAGCTAACTATCAAGCTATAGATTCAACTTCTCTTTCACTCTATCTCTATGATTCAAGATATTTACAAACAAACCATGGCATTTTGGGATGCCGAATTTATATATGAGTCCAATGTTTTCGATTTGTTTTCATTTGCTATACAATACAATCAATGAGAAGAAGGAAAATAAAATTCATAAACTTTTTGGAAAAAAGAGAAAACCTATACGAACAAACATTACATGGACACCGATTGTGTGCGATGATCAACCATCGTCGACATCATCGAATGTTTTTGAAAATGTTGTCGAGAGAAACATTGAAATGAAGAGATTGTGAGAGAAGTAAAATACGAATGGTAGTGAAGCCATCGTCAAATCGAATATTTGTTTCTGTTTTAATTTGTGGGGAATTTGTTTTGGTTGTATTTTTTTCCCTTATTTTGTATACAGATTGTGGCTGGTTTTACATCGATATTCCCGTCCAGTTTTTTTCTCTCAGTTTTCATCACAATTCGTCAAGTTTTGTTTAGTGTTCATGAACACTTTGTTCATATCGGTTGATGTTATATTTGACTTATGTGCTTGTTTGAAAAAATGTTATCTTATTCAATTCTGTTTACAATTGTTTGTTCAATAATGCCAAAGTCAAATATTTTTGATAATACATAATAATTGGTTGTACAAATACACAATGATCAATTCACAAATTGTTGATCTCATTATAATCATCAATGAATGAAATGAACTGAATGAATTAATATGTCATTGTATTGTACATTACCTCGGCGGAATCGTCGATCTTCCACATCAATGATTTCATCAGTAAATCCATCGTTGTTGAATACAAATATTCGTAAAAATGCAAACATTATGATTAATAATGATTTGCTATCATCACATGGATGGATTTGTGGTGGCCTAGTATCATCGACAACATCTTTTGCTAAACCACAACCATGTTCCACAAACATCCATAATACATCGTCATTAACACCATCATCCAAACACTATAGTGATGGTGAACAATCTTATCGGCATTCGATTGCAACAGGATCGATAATGGAACCAATATCGCCACAAACCGAATATCTTAATTTTTGTAATGCATTACATCACAAAAATCGAGATTCATTGTGCTCAAATATAACACCACTGCCTCCATCATTGCCAACACCAACTGGTCTTAATGGCCATTTATCATCATGGGCATCATTTAATGATCATTATTATCCATCTCGTGTTGATAATAATTTTCATTCAATGGCTATAACAACACCAACTGAAACATCCGATACAGTGACATTTACTGAATCGGTTACATCGACGTTTGATGAATATTCTTCTAATTCAGGACCATCAACAAAATTATATTATGCGTGTGATTCAATACAGCTTCCATCACAATCATCATCATCTAATAATAATAATAATAATCGTTTGACTAAAACATCAACTATGCCAAATTTTTATGGCACAATCAATGAAGATGGATTAGATCCTGATGATGATGAAGATGAGGAGGAGGAGGAAGAAGAAGATCTACAAAGTTCAAACGAAGATTTTATTACAGGTGCTTCTGTTGATGCATACGGTTGTTCAGTTGAAGATATTACTGAAGTTGATGAAGATAGTGAAGAGGATTATATTGATGAATTAGAACGTCAGCAACGTGAACGTGTAGCTAGAATGTTTGATCTTAGTATTTCATCGAATTCGAAAAGCCATTGTAATAATAATCATCATCATTCAGGAACAAATATACTGTCCTTAAATCGTTGTTCATCATTCCGCTCACGTTCTCGACAAAGTCTTCGAAATCTTTCAATGCGTTTAAGTAAATTTTATCGTCCGAAAATTCTACCATCATCATCATTTATCGATGATAAAAAATTGCAAAATAACAATCAAACAATAACAACAACACAAACATCGACGCCTCCATTAAACTCACGTAAAAACAATTACTTTTGTTATTATCCAGCAAATGACTATGTTAAAGATCAATCATCATCATTGTTTCCAGGATCTGAAAATGAAAAAAACAAAATAAAACGACGATTACAAGAAAATTTTAACCATCATAATAAATTGAAAGCATTTTGGAAAGATAAAATTTGGGGAGAATTTCTCATGTTAAAATCATCATGGAATTCGACAAATTCATCACCATCACCATCAACATTACCTTCGATGATAAATTCTCGTGTAGATGTAAAGAGAAGTTCTTTCAATAATTGTAATTCTTGCCATCAAAAATGTTCGAAAATCAATAATCATAAATTAGCTAGCTGTTTGCAACAAACACATTCATTATCATCACCATCAACATCTTCGTCTTCCTCATCATCATCATCATCATCATCTTCTTTTCAATCGCCATTGAATCGTTATTTCGAACGTTATTTTTCATCCTCTCGTTTTGCCAGTATGAGAGAACGTATATCGATGAAAAAGTTTCGTTCGATGAATCGATCAAATATTTCTTTGCAACCAAATTATAATCGTTCAGAAACGGCCATCGGTAGTAAAAAACTACATGATCATCGAAATGTACATCATTCTTCATCATCAATGTTATCATCAACTACAATGACAGCCGGTATTATTAAAAAACGCCCATTGTCAATTACATATGATCTTGTTAGATTTACTCAACCGATCGTAACAAATGATGATTATGATGAATGTATGAATCCAATACAACGACCAAATCTGCCTCAACACTGTGAAAACAAACAACAACAGAACCGAAATCAACATGGTGGTCACGATAAGGTTGTTTACAATTTGAAAAAGATTCAATTTTGTGTGAACACCACACACATTCCAACATACGAACATTTGCCAAATGATAATTATAATTGTGGGAATTTTTAATTTATTTTTTTCCCGTTCATTTTTGATTAGAAAACAGAAAGTAATCTATAGCTCGAACTTGAAATGAACACAAACTAAGATTCTCTGAAATTAAAGAAATTTATTTTTAGTTTTTTTTCTTGTTCTAAAATGATAATCAAATTATTGATTCATGGTTGGAAGGGCATTGTCATTGTTTCATAAAACCTGATATATTTACAATGATCCAAACGATCATTTTTGTTTTTTTTTTTCATTTTTATCTGTCAAACAACCAATCTTATGTCTGGTGTGATTTTATTCGAACATAAAAATGAAAGATTTCAAAAGTGGTTATCATTGTTTATTTTGGCAGCCAGATAAATTTGATAGTACGAATGAATTTTCAAGTTGAATAGCAGTTGAAATATGTTTTTTCAAATTCATTATGATTTATTAAATTTGGTCACTGAAAGAAGAATGTATTTAGTTTATGTTTGTTTTGACTATGCAAACATTATTGTTTTCATTGACTTGTTATAATCATTGTAAACCGATGGCCTAGTTTAGGCATACCTGTTGCCGGTATCTTTTTTTGTTTTGTTTTACTTTTCTTACCTTCAAAATATTACGACTATCCTTAGATTTAATCTTTTCACTAATGTTAGGCAGGGGACTTTATTATATTTTTGATTGTTTTATTCATCTTATTTTCAATTTTTGATATACTAATTTTCTTTTCTTTTTTACTTTTCATTCATATCAATAAATATTATATTATAGGCACATATGGTAGCTGCATTCGAACAATCATTATCATCGATGACCACACGTTTACAGCAATTATCATCAACAAGTGAACTTAAAGATTGTGAATTGGAACGTTTACGTAAAACGATCGATGTGCTTAAAAAACAAGGTGGATCATTGGTCGGACATGCAAAATCGGCAACAATCATGAATCCACTTGGTATCAATGGTAACGATGGTTATAATACAATGATTCAGATATTATCTAAAAATAAGAAAAAAAATTCTCATGCTGTGAATGGTGACGGCGTTGATGAGGCTGATGATGATGATGATGATCTATCTAACGATCCGATGAATGATAGTGGTGATTTGATCACGGTGGCTAACCACGATCATCTAAATAATCACGCCCAATCAAATCAACATTATCATCATCACGGTCATCGTTCGTCAAAGAATGCTAAAAATTTACTAATTCGTCGACATACATTTAATAATTCTCTTGCTAACAATATAATATCTACTACTAATGCTGATTGTTCTTCCTTTTCCTTCTCACTAAAAACTTCGTCATTACAACGAAATCCTAAAGATCTTAATCCTTCTTTATCAATTTCTCCTTCTCCTATCCGTAATAACGATACTAATCATAATTTAACTAATGACACAACAATTTTGGCTACTGGCCATATTATTGACGGTATAACTTTCTGTTCGTTAATATTTTTTTCTAGCTGCTTTTTTTAGCTTATTCCTTATTTCATAGTTGTTTTCATCAAAGACTAATTTTTTTTATTTCACAAAAATTCATTGATTTATCTATGATTAATGTTCTTATCTTTATATGATGTCTAGGTGATAAATTTCAACGATACCTGTCAAGTGAATCGGTTAATAGTATTTCCAGTTGTGGTGCAGCCACCGATAGTAGTGTAGCTAATGATAAAACGAAAAAGAAATCCAAACTCAAATTAGCCGGTTCGAATACCAGTTGGATACGTAGTTCATTTAGTCGAGCTTTTAAGAAGAAATCATCATCTAAAACGCGAAATTCTTCACAACACGGAAGAGATGTAGCATCGGATGTTGAAATGACTAGCGGTACTGGTCAATCCGAACCTGAAGGTGATACTTATTCAGTACCAAGTTCTCCATTGATGTCGATACGAAGTCGTGCAAAATCTGCTGGCATTAATATTTGTAATGAGCGAAATGTTTCAGAAAGAATCATTCATCCGCGATCTTTATCCGAATCGAAAGCTTCCGGATCAGATACGTTAGTTGAAACCTCAACACCTGAAGAGATGAACGATTTACGTAAGCAATTACGTGAAAAAGAAATGCAATTGACTGATATGCGCTTGGAATCTCTTACATCCGCACATCAACTTGAAAATCTCAAAGAAATAGTCAATCAGATGCGAGTTGAAATGATGAATCTAAAACAAGATAATGATCGCCTTCAACGTCTTGTCCATCATAAATCGTTGGCATCTTCACAAAGTTCGATGACTTCAGCATTAGGTTCACATGGTTCTAGTACATTACCATCAGGCAACGGTGGTCCAGTTGCAACGATGGATGATTCCAATAGTTTCAAAAGTGTCGATATGGATTTGAGTCCATTACATTCATCAAACACTACCTATTCTAATGATGGCAGTCCTAAATTAGTTACATTAGGATCTGGATCACATATATTGGCTACGTTGACTATTACAACCAAAACAAATTGGGATCAACTTGACACATTGATCAAAAAGTGTTTTAAAGATCACTTAATTCGTGTGGATAGTTCATTGGCTTTAGGTATCACTGTTGATTCGTTGGCTTGTTATCGTGTTGGTACAGAGAAAATTCTCAGGAATTTCTATCCAATTAATCAACATAACAAATCTAATGCTCCAGAATTGCTTCCTTTCGGATATTTGGTAAATGAAAATCATATAAATCTTCAATTCAAAACAACTATTGATTCATTGGCTTTCGATACTTTGACACCAAAATCCGTACTTAATGAATTTATTTCAATGCTCATTGAAAATCGTCGTTTAATATTTTCTGGTCCTAGTGGAACAGGCAAAACTTATTTGGCACATAAATTGGCCGAATATATGGCTATCAAACAGATGGATTCTTCTTCGACGGCCATATATTCACGCAACATTAATGGAGCTAGTTCCGCTCCACCAACTGGTGCTATTACCACTTTCAATGTCGATCATAAAAATGCTAAAGAACTTCGTACCTATTTGGCTAATATTGCTGAACAATGTCAATTGGAAGTGGCTCTAACACCTTTGCCCACTGTGATCATTCTGGATAACCTTCATCATTCGATCGATTCATTGGAAGATATATTCAATGATCTGGATAAGATTTCAATCATGAAAAGGTATATCAAATCATTAATCGTACTTATTACATTTAATTTATCGATCTCTTTGTCTTGTAATATAGCCCTTATATAATTGGTACCATAAATCAAAGTTTTCATCACCATCAAACAATGCCCATGTTTCAACGACACAATTTTTATTGGATAATGCTATCTGTTAATTCGGAAGCTGTTCGAGGCTATCTGAATCGTTTTTTGCGTCGTAAACTTTTGGAAACTGAATCACGGCTAGCATTGAACCAGCAAAAAATTCAGCCCGAAGTTATTAAAATCATCGAATGGATTCCCAAAGTTTATTCGCATTTGAATAAATTTTTGGAGAATTATTTCGGTGAAAATATTTCTATTGGTAAGTTTTTTGTTATTTTTTTCATACTTGTGAATAATTCATTTCAATACATATCACTTTTATCAAAGGTGCACGTCTATTCACCTCTTGTCCGATCGACTTGAATGGATCTCAAGCTTGGTTCACTGATCTATGGAATTATTCTATTCTTCCTTTCATCATTGAAAATCTTCGAGAACATGTCCGTCAAAATGGCGGAAAATTAAAAGGGAAATTATCGACTGCCATCCATAGTTTCATCGATCCTACCGATTGGATCGTTGCCAACTATCCATGGAGTTCTAATTCAGAATGGTCAGATCATTTGAATAGACTACGGCCAGAAGATGTTGAAGACGATAAACAACAACATCAGCCTCAATCAAATTCAATAAATCAGGCGTCAATTATTTCAAATAGTCGGCCACATTCATCAAACAACAATCTTAATGTAACAGATAATCAATCGTCATCGGATCAATTCAATGAATCAGTCAAAGATATAAAAGATCCATTCGTAAGTTGTTGAAATATTAATCAAACTAATTAAATAACATTGTGATTTTTTTCGACATTTAGTTACAAATGTTATTAAAATTAAAAGAGGCATCAGAATATTCTAGTCAAGATGTTGGAACAAATAATCAGAATTTGGCTGAACAAACCTGAAATTGAAACGATTATCACTTTTTATATCCTGTATTCATTTATTACGATTCTTTAAATAAATTGTTTTTAAGATAAAACTGCAAAAATACATGCGAATCCATTCATTTACTGAATCATATTTTAGTCGTTGACTTCATTATCCATATCCAATTTATTCATAGAATGCTGCCATCTAGGATTTCAAAATCACAATATTTTTGCTTAAGTAATGGTCGAATTCATCGATAGTCGTGATGATGATGAAAAGCATTGCAAAATGCACTCAAATGTTATGAAAACAAGTCGTCCTTCTTCGGTCATAGCCATAATCCGTTACGTATACGCAACAATTCATGCTCAATCATCATTGATACACATAAATAATTTCGTCATTGTGACTACACTTACTTTTATTGTTCATTGTAATGAATGAGCAAAATCCACAGGATTGAGAATCGCATCGTTTTTATGTCGAATTGAAAGGACCGAGGACAGACTGACTCACTGAATATTGGATGTTTTGCCATTTGTGAGTAAAAAAAGTTCGTTTCTTTTCTTCGTCAAGCCTTGAACATTCGCGATACGCCTGTAAAAAATAATAAAAATTAATAATAATATCAATAATTTGTTCAACATTGGTGTCCTCATCGACTCCCCATACGAATATACACATTCATTTAAGACAAGAGAAAAAATCATTCAACCTAAATCTTTACCAACAATAATTGTAATCATCAAAACAATTTTCATTCTAAACAACTGTTTGCTAAAAGAAGATCCTTTTCTATCAAAAATTATTTACCCCTGTATTCATTCATTAAAATAGTCAATTTTTTTATTAGCCTTATCATATGAGGCATCCCAGTTACTCATCCAGATGTGATTCTTTTCTGGTCTTAAATAGATAAATTTTTCATTTTTTCCTCCCTGTTATCATATTGTTGTTTTTGTTATAAATTTCATCATCATCATCATTTGATTTCTTTAGCTCCTGTATACCCTGTATAAATTCTTTCTTTATTTTTATTCTATATACGTAGTAGAATTTTTTTTCTCACTTGCCTTCAAGAAACAAAGATAGCGAGCTGTAAAAAAGCAGAATCGCAAAATTTCCTATTGATTACAACATATTTCGTTCATTGCCAATTTTTCTTTTGTTTTAATTGTTTCGTATGAATAAACCCCTTTCGAAAAGCAATCATTAGAAACGAAACCCAAAATTTTTTCATTTTCTTTCAAAAATTCATCATAAAAATCATCATTGAACTGTTTTTTTGCACTGTTTCAATTATTCATTGTAAATATAATTAAAGAACGATTAATTTTATTCATACGCAACTAGTTCTAAGGATTTACCGTAAGTTTCATTGTTGTTGCATGATATAAATTCGATTTCATTAAATTTTAATTTTTCTTGTTGACATTCATAGTCGATCTGTGATGTCTACTCCTGCTCGCCGTCGTTTAATGCGAGACTTTAAACGTCTCCAAGAGGATCCACCTGCTGGTGTTAGCGGTGCGCCAACTGACAACAATATAATGTTATGGAATGCAGTCATATTTGGACCACGTGATACACCATTCGAAGATGGTACATTCAAATTGACTCTAGAATTTACTGAAGAATATCCGAATAAACCACCAACCGTTCGATTCATATCGAAAATGTTTCATCCAAATGTTTATGCTGATGGAAGTATATGTCTTGATATTTTGCAAAATCGATGGAGCCCTACGTATGATGTATCGGCTATATTAACATCAATCCAATCATTATTAGATGAACCAAATCCAAATTCACCTGCAAATTCATTAGCTGCTCAGCTTTATCAAGAGAATCGTCGCGAATATGAAAAACGAGTGGCAGCAATTGTTGAACAAAGCTGGATAAATTTCGAAGAAGAAGAAAAATCTGGTAAAAAAGAATCAAGCTAAAAAATGTACACACTGAATATCGTCGAAAATAAAACAAAATGAATTCTTAATTTTTCATAGAGATTCATTATGATAACAATAATCTCAAGGCAATTTCATTTTATCAATTATTTTTATGTACGTGTTTTGTAAAACTTGCTTGTGTCTGTGTGTGTGTGTGAGTGTGTAAGCTAAATGGTAATCCATGCACTATCTTCTAAAATGATCGAAACACATACCCACTAATTCATGAAAATTTTCTTGAAACATCACCTTTTCTCTCCTTCACCCCTTATTACATTTTCTCTTTATAAATAATTCAAAATTATCACTAATCGTTATTGAATCGTATATGTTTAAAAAACATGATACACAAATATATATTCAAAAATGCGAAATGATATATATTTTTGGCTTTGTACATTTCAAATGAATCGAATCGATATCCTATATTATCTCTTTTTTCTTTTGTAAATTTTAGTCTTGCTAAATAATATTACATAACATGAACTACAAACATTTTAAAAAAACAACAAAATGATTCGACCTATCTAGTTTTGTTATTGAATTTGATTCTTATTAATTATTCATCAAGAAATCTCTTTGATTCCTTTTTCTGGGTTTGATTTTCTTTAAATTTTTTTTCTTTGCTTCTCGACAGAAAATTCGAATTAAATAAATTGAATTGTTTTCCACTATTTTAACAACAATGAATTGTACTGTTTATTTTGCATACTTGGCTCATATCCTGTTATCACTGTGTTGAATTGCATCATCAATTTATCATAATTAATGAAATGTCGAAAAATTGGTTACGTAAAGATTTCGACTATCTTGTTGGACGTCGATTAGAACGTCATCCACCACATTTTAGTAATCGAAGGCAAAAAAAATCATCAGCCGATAGACCACAACATATTCCTCATCTACAACGTTGTCGCTTAGGAAATTCGAAATGTGATGGTAAAAACTTGCAGCAAAAATGTTCCGAAAATCGTCGACATGTGAAATATACATTCACGAATCAACCATTCAATTCACGATTAACTCTTGAACCGAAGCTAGAAATTTTGGGTTCGAATAAAGTTCTAGATTATGATGATATTCAACTAGGTTGGAATCCAGGAATATTCGCTAATACTAAATTCGTCCGAAGTAAAGATCGTTATAAACAAAATGACAAAATAGTCGAAAGAAAATTTCATGTCAAAAGTTTTGCTGATTGTATTACTGAATCACCAATTCGGTATTCACCTGTCGTGAAATCCAAAGATCGACAATTTCACCGTCTTACAACCATGATTGAACCAGTGGAAGAAAATTCAGACAACCTGAATTCGAATGATTTGAATTTTCATAAGGAAGTTGATCTTTCTCATCAAATAAATATGTACAAAGTAGAATCAAACCTTCATTTATCTGATGATTACTCAATCATATCGTCGGAAGATAATCTATCTCAATTCATGTTTAAAATTCCAGATGTTGAAACGATTTCATTCGAAATAGACACCTCTAATGATAATAATGATGAAATTCCCAGTAAACCATGTAAACATTTGACCGACATTGTTCCTAATTATTACTTTCAAGATGATCCATATTTCCAAGATCAATATAACTACAATCGACATAGAATCAGATACTTATCATCAGTTGATACACCTAATTTTCAGACCGATAATAATAATGCGCATTTTTTTGATATTTATTAATTAACAACGTTTGTAATATAACATCATGTATTATTACTTTCAGGTTTAAAATCCATCGGCTTATCTAAAGCATTTGCTTTTCTCAATTGAACAGCTTTTTTATATGGTGGGTCAATTGGTTTTTGATTTGGTTCATGATATTCATAATCTTTTTGATTGTTAATATTCAGTGAATAAGTTGTATCCGAATCAAATCCGGATAGATCGCCACAAGCCATAAATGGAATGATCATTCGATTTATGTGAAATTTACCTTCATCCGATTGTTCAAAATATTTTTGACATTCACCTTCCATCAATGCATTAAACATTGTAGGTTCATATTGTTTTGGTGGATTATAGTCGCGACAAACTACAAAAGCTTCAATCGATGATGTTCGACTGCTACGTGGTTTCGAAATGATTACTTCGTCGAAGAAAATCTTCAATTGTGAATACAATAATTCAACATCTTTTCCACGAAATATTTTAGCCACAAATGTCCCACCAGGTTTTAAAATATGCGTGGTAATATTAACGGCGGCCAATAAAAGCTCAGCTTGGATGTAGGTATCGATATCATGCAATCCAGTAACATCTGGAGCACCATCACAAACAACTAGATCAGCAGCCATCCCATCGAAATGATCGATAATGGCTGTGGCTGTAGAATGATTGGTTATATCACCTTGTAACTGTATGACACCAGGAATTGGAGCCATGGCTTGCAGATCAACTGCCACAATTTTGCAACATTCTTTCCTCTCATTTGTATCATCTGATACAAGAAGACGTCGAGCCAACACTTGTGACCAACTACCGGGTGCAGCACAAAGATCGACACAACGTTTGACACCGTTCAATATATTAAATTGATCATCAATTTGCAATAGCTTGAAAGCCGATCGTGCTCGATAACCTTCTTCCTTAGCCAAACGATAATAGATGTCGCGTTTATCTTTGCCGAATTTTCCCATTTAATTTATCAACAAAAAAAACTAATTCAAAAAAGATTCAGTGCAAATTTCTGGCAATATTCGATGCTATGTTGATATTTTCTGCATTGGATTTTATTTTTGACTATTCGGTGATAATATTGTAAACATGTGTGTGACATGCATGTATCATTGTTGACGATTATGTTATGCAATAAAAGATCATTCATAAACTACGTTTTTGAAAAAAATATCGATCCACATTTGATACCCATCATCTCTAATGGCGCGAAAAATTGTCTTCCATTTTGGAAAATCTATTAATAAAAATGGCGGCAAACATTTGTTCTATATTTCATTATAAACAAACATGATGTCAACAATTTCAATTGAATTTAAAATTGATTTAATTTTACACAACACCGAAAAATAGAATCCAGTGTTGATTTCCTTTTTTATAAATAGCCACAAATATTTCGTCATTTTCTGCGTTTATGTTTTTGGTACTTGAATTTTGTGGCCAAAATGATTAGAAATGATCGTAATCGATCGAAGGATTCCCGTTTCTTTATTAAATTGGTAAGTATTACTTTTATTTAAATATTAATTCATTTTTCTATTATTTTCATCCACATCATCAAACAAACTAAGTACAAACGTTTTCTTAAAAATGACCAAGGACGATCAAAAATTTTGAATGTAGCTAGAGTAGATCGTCCGAAATTTGTTGAATTGACCTTTATCGGTTCGGGTTCATATGCTGATGTGTTTCGCTCCAAAGCAAATGGTAATTTTGTTTTAAAAATGATACGTTTATTACCGGAAGAATTATTGAAACGAATTCAATCGTCAGCTGTTTCACGACATACAAGCTACTTTGATGCATATCAAGAATGTAGAATTTCTGATGCGTTATCACGTTTACAGAATTTAATTATCAAAAATCGTTTTTACCGTTGCTCGATATTTCCTAAAATATTTTCCAAATTCATATCCAAAGATATTTTTTTAAAACATATAGAAAGTTATCAATCTTTTTCCGAAATTGAATGTCAATACTCCATTGATCCATTCGAACATTTTGGATTGAATGTCTCCAGAGAGAATCTGTTGATGGTCATGGAAGATTGTGGTCAATTAATGATCGATATAATTGATGATCTACATCCGTATGCATTTTTATCGATATTAAAACAAATCATCGTAGGTTTAATGATTGCAGAACAAGTTTTTGAATTTGAACATCGTGATCTACATTCGGGAAATATTTTATTGCAGCCATTTCATCAGCATTCGATTCAATTTACTTATGATAATAAAGTAATAACGATTCCTAGCTACGGCTTTTTAGTAAAGATTATTGATACAACCTTTTCTCGTCTAAAATACGGTAAGTGTTCATAAAAAAGCCACAAAATTGTTACTGTTTTTCTCATTGTCAAATTATTTTACAATATAGACAACATAATTTACTTCAAAGATATGACGTATTTGTTTGAAAATTTTGAAGATAAAAAATGTCGCCGTAATAACGAAAAATGTCCGATGCGTATGCAGGATAGGATTTATGATCAAATGTCACAAGTTATTCAAAATGAATGGCAAAAATTTCATCCGAAAACGAATTGTATTTGGATAAAGTATGTTATTTATAAGATGCGAAAATCATTATCAATTCGTTTACAACAGCAATCACCGAATGTTCGTAACAAAAATACCTGTTCATCAATATCATCATTGACATATGCAAATCGTGTTTATCGTCTATTAGAACATTTTAATAAATTAATGGATGAATGTTCAACTTTACTTGAATGTTTTCAAACCATCATCAATGATCAATCTGGACTCAATGATTTTGTTCGAATAAGTTTTTTCAACAATAAGGATATTGGTGGTGGTACTGGTAATTCCAGATCAAAACAACATATACGTGCATTTCAATATGGATGAAAATAGCATCGTGTTTCGAAATCCATAATGTTCAAATGCAAATCAAAAAAAAAATTATTTATTCGCCTCTTCCTATTGAGTCAACTTGTTGACAATAAATAAAAATGATGATGATAAACAAAAGTTTTCATTGATAATTTCTTTTTTACAAGTGTTAAGTTTTCATTTGGGTGATAATTTGTTTTGTTATTGAATTCTTTCTCTATTTGCGCAAAATATTAATAAAATCATAATAATAGAATAAATTGAATTAGAATAATAATAAAATCAAATTTTTAAGCATAGGTAAACGATTAATTCACATTTAATTCAATTATTATTTATTATATAAAAATAAATTGTATAATGATAGATTGGAAAAATATATTTTCACTCATTGGATGGATTTTCAAAGTTTTCGGCAAATAACCTTGCCTGATACTTACGTACCCATCATCGATTTTATCAATGAAATTTTCTTCGTTTTCGCTTTCCTTGAATTTTTTTTCAATTCGATCAATGAAAATCACGTCCACAATTTAACCGTGTTTCTTTCGTTCTTTTAAGTCTTGGTTTTGAATGAACTGAACGACAAAAGTAAATAGTGGCCACTATACCAATGAACTTGATTGTAATGAAGAAAAAAAATAATAATAATTGTCTAATATTATGTTTGAAAATTATATTACCGAAAATGCAGCTAAACCAACACCCAATCCTAAAAACATTTTACATTCTGAACGTATGAATTCATCAATTAGTTGCATACATCCCTGTTTTCAAATCAATTAATAGATAATATGAATAAAACAATTATGATTACCTTTTGATTTCGAAATGATCGATTTTCGTCATCATTATCTGATTGGCACATTGTTTCATTGATAGGTCGCGGATTAAGATGTGCATTTTTTTCCATACGATTAGCAAGTCGACAACATGTCCGACTTATAATAAGTACATCATCAGGTAAATGATTTTCGATTTGTTTATGTAACCATCGTGAATATTTATAATCGGTTGGCGATTCAATTCCACAACATTCAAACTATAGTTAGTAATGAGAAAATTTCATAAAATCAAAGAAAAATGATAAAAATCTAATGTTGATTTAAACCAACTTTTGTTTGTGCTAAATCTACAGCTGCTGTGAATGATGAATGGATCCCGTATTCGCTTTGTAATAATAGCACAAAATCGATAGTAGAATATCGAGAAAAAATTCTCTCTTTGAATATAACGGCCAACATACCGATGGTCATTTCTAATGAGAATGTAAGCATCAATAAAAATGTGTACTAAATGATCAAAGTACAAAAAAATTATCATTATTTATATCTAAATAAAATATATTACATTATCTTACAATGAATAATAAACATCGATTGTTCTCCATAGCAGCAAAACAACCACATAAAGCCATCAAAAAAGTTAACGTTCCAAGAAAGACAAGAATCCATGCAAGTAATTGTAAAAGAGCTAAATTATTTTTTGGTGCAAAAAATAATAAAAATAATGATGCTAATTCATCGTGTACAAGATAATAAACACCAAAAATGAATATGATTATGCCAGAAATCTATGTTAATTTGAATTTAATAAACGTAAAAATTATGAATAAAATTTTTTCATTATTGAAATAATACAATTGTAATCACCCAGAACATTATGTTGAACACCAACAAGAATCGCTTGGCGCAAATAGTATCTTCATTCAGGTTGAATTCCATTATTTTACATACAAATCAATTGATCAATATAGAAAATAAAAGGAAAAAAATGAATACATCCATTATTGATAGATGAACAATGTTGAACAACAAGTCATCAAAGATTATTAAGTTATCAGATGCTTTTTCGTGATTATGCCTGTGTTGTACATGGATAAATCGAGGACAATATGCCAGGAACATGAAAAAAATTACGATACATTCGTGATAATTTTGAATGAAGAAATGACAAAATACTCATCATATACAATCACTAAATGACAATGATGACTACCACAATCACTGACGATTATCATTTACATTAATATTATTATTGTTATTCGACAGTTGAAGTTGACGTCGATATCGTCCTCGTACCATAACCATCTTTACAATTTTGAATGGTCATATAGTGCAGAAGCCTAATTGTGCCATATTTCCGTATGTCTGTATTGTATGTATGTGTGCAGTTACATTCGGGTACATTTATCTACAATTTTGTTTACCACTAAATTAAAAATTGTCCTTTTTCTTTCATTCTCTTTTTCTCTGTATATCTCTTTTCAAAATTCAAATTTGTTCCAATATTGTTCAACAACAACAATAATTTTGGGCGTCAATAATTATTTTTCATTTTATTAATTTCTGTTTTTCTCTTCATTTCCTTTGTCAAATGTATTCGCATGGTTGGTCTAAATATTATTATTTTTTGTTATGAATGTTATCTATGTTGTTTTGTTTTGTTTTTTTTTCATAGAATAACCGCTAAAATTCTGAATACGCCCTTGATGATGATGATGATATATTCAATGATAATGAGAATTTTCAATAATTTATGAAATAAATTTTATGATATGATTGTCCTCACTATGAATTATAATGAAAAATATATAATGTTCTAATGTTATGAATCCATGACCATTCTATGATCATTATCAGTTAAATCTTGAATTTCGATTTCTAGTTCAAGTATTTTGGTCATCAAAACATTTCTTTGAATACTACTCAGACAGAATCGTTTTCTTAATTTTTACGATAATAATTTTTATCGGTGTTTCTTAAATCAACAATTTTCTCTGATTTTAACCAATCATAACCCGTCAAACACTATATTATAGGTCTGATTTTTAGGTTTGGTTTCTTCATTCAAAAAAAACGACATTCATGATGAATATGATTTTAAGTGATGAAATGGATGGAAGAAGATTGAAATATGAACGAAAAAAAATTGATGGCAATATAGTTTTTTTTCATCACCCAGATCATACTACAATTTTCCTTTGTTTCTGTTGAATGTGATATTTTTTTCAACCACAAAACGGAAAAAAATTATTACAAACTTTTTTTTAGTTTGCTTGACATTTGAACTACTATATGCACTTGATTGACCTTAATGACCTTAATATTGGATAAGTTTTCAGTGCAAATTATAAATGCATTTTATCCATATAAAATGCATTTCTTCAATTGGATTTGCTAAATCGAGGAAAATTTTTGAATTTTTACTTATTCATCCCCCTTTTTCTATTGACAATTTTAGGCTTAAATATAATATTATCAAAATTATTGGATTAGAACAAAAAGAAGATCTAATCACAATTAGGAAATTCCATAATGATGATTATGATAAAAGTATTAAAAAAAGAATATACATAGTATCATGTAATGCAATATGAACGGAAATCCGACGATTCCGTAGAATTTCGACAAAATTACTATGAATTTACATTTTTAAAATGATGATGATAATGCAATTAATATTATGTAACCACCAATTTTGTCCATCCAATGTTTGTATTGTTTTTTTAGTATTTATATTACTTTTAATAAATCACATAAATTATTTGAAAAATCATCAAAGATATTAATTTATTATCAAAATATTAAACAGTAATCAGATTCGATCAATCGAAATGATCACGTTTTTTTAGTTGTTATCGGTTGATTATCCGACTTTGAATCGACCTTTAGTACAAATATAAAAGTGTAAATAAAAAACATTTCAATGAAAAATCTGAATATAATTTTACTATTTTAGATTTACAGTTTTGTTGTTGTCAGGATAATTATTAAAAAAAATTTCTCAATCGATAGCAATATTATAAACAAAATAACAACAAAAACAAAACTGTTGTTGATCAAATTTCATCATTGTTAACAATGATAATAATGATTACGATAATAACATCATGGCCACTATACAGGTGTGCGAAAGCGATTATACACATTAATGATATCGATTTTGTTATTCAGAAAATGAATTGATTGATTGATTGATTGTGATATTGATATTCCTCATTCAACTAATAATGAAACAAAAAATCGGAAACAACCAGATATGGATAAATCAAACAAGAAAAAAAAATCAAATGATTGATAAAATATTCATTTCATCAATCAACTATATTAATTAACTGAAAAAGGATAATACATATCTGATAATCATCGCTTCACCAGTTGTTATCGTCATCATTCATGGATTTTTTTTCAACAATCAATATGTTAAACGTATTGATTAATTTTACTATGTCGTCATATGTAACCCATTGTTTGATCATATGAGTGATAGTAATCGTAATCAGGGTTTTTTCTTTATTTATCATTTTTTTCAATCAAAATCATTTCATTTCATTTATGAAATAAAAAATTCATTGAGAAAAAAAAATTTGATACATTTTACTTGGGAAAATTATGAATGAAATTCAGTAATTATTTATATTTGAGTAATTATTGATTATTGAATTAAAAAATAAAAAAAAATTCAATCATTGAATCAAAATCAAACAAACAAAACAAAACAAAATATTATACTTTGATCTTTTTTTGTCAAAAAAAGTTCGAATAGAATTAGTATTACAAAATTGAATTGATCGATTTGATTAAAAACAATTCATACACAAGTGGTCAGAAAACAACTATCAAATTTGTTTCAAAATCATTTGATAATGATTACATGAATGAATGATTATGGCAACAGTTGGATGATATTCTAGAACATAGGATGTGTTTTAGTTTAATTTGTATACATGCATAGACACACCCACAAACTTCATTGAATCAATGGCTTTTTCACCCAAGCCGCATAATCAATTTTTGCAATGAAACAAAAAAAAAAATCGTAATAGATATCTCATATACATCAATATTTGTAGATCATGTTCATTCAATCATTATTTTGATTCAAGTAATCAATCGAATTTTCTTCGATTTTTTTTGATGATAATAATAAAAAATGATTCCTGGAAATGTGATATAAATAATAAATCGAGGCCAACAAAATCCATTCAGAATTGTTTCATAATCAAATGAACAAGTGAAACAATTGTTTGTGTATGTGTGACTAGAATTTGTTGATTTTGTTCCTGTTTTTTTTCTCTTCACCATTCATCCATTCATGTTTTTGGCAACATAATTGAAATAAAATGATTTTAATTATCGTATTCGTGTTTCTTGTGCTCATTATACATAGTTTTATTGAAATTCTTCAATGGCTAATTAATCAATATCGTTTGTACTTAATGATCAGAAAAATACCTGGTCCAAAAATTAATTCTCCATTTTGGGGAAATATTAATCTATTGAAAAGAATAATTGACAAAAAACCAATCGGTTTACAATCAAAAGAATTTATTGATTTAATGAATAGATTATGTGAACAATATGATCCAAATAATAGTATCGGTTTAATTCGTCTTTGGTTCGGGCCATTTGTACCTATCATAATCATAACGAATGCCAATATTGCACAAAAACTTCTCAACAGTAAAGATCATCTTGATAAGGCAACATTTTATTCATTGTTTCGTTATGCAATAAAGGATGGTGTTTTCACTAGGTAAGTTTATTTTCCCATTCTCACATATCACGACATAGATATTAATTATTTATTTTGATAATGGTCAATTGTTAATCATATTTTTAATTATTCATCTTTGAATAAATTTGCTAAAAAAATCACATTCTGTATTAGTAAAACGGAAAAATGGCTTCATCAGAAACGTGAAATACAAGGACATTTAAAATTTAAAGCTTTACAGCGTTATATTGCCAATACGGAACGACATCTAGCGACATTGAATGAACGTATTGATGCCGTTATCGATGATGTAAATAAAAATGGTCAAATTGATGATATTAAACCAATTCTTTCCACATTTGTTTTGGATGTTCTTGGTGGTGAGTATTCTTTTAAGTAATCATCATTATCTAATTAGCATTTTAAACAGAAAATATATTCAGTACAAAATTTCATTCACAATCAACTGGTGTTGAACCGAAATTTGTTCGTTCAGTAAACCGGATGTTGGAATTGAGCTACATTCCATTTTTAAAGCCATGGTCATATTATTTTAATAAAAGCATTCTTGTATATCTATGTAATATTGGTATCTTTCTTAAAACTCTAAGCCATGTTAATAATTTTCAACATTCAGTTCGAAAGGTATAAATCAATTTTGTTGGCAGTCACTTTTTAATATAATTTTTTCTTTATTCTTCAGATAATATTGAATCGTTTTGAAATGAGAAAATATGAACGAAAATCACGAAAACAATCATCATTACTGGATACGATGATTGAATCGCGAATTTCGCCTACCAATCCTGATCGCATTTTGAAACTAAATCAAATTGAAACACAAATCAATACATTTGTCGTAGCGGGTATGTTTTTAATTAACGATTGATTGAATTAATAATCATTTAATATGATTTAGGACATGACACTACGACCAGTGCGATATCATGGACCCTTTATCTGTTGGGTCATCATCCTGAACAACAGCAACAATTAATCAATGAAATCGATGAATTTCTTGCCAATTTGAATTTGAATGGAGAATCGATTACATTGCTGAGCATGAGAAAATTGAAATATCTCGAAAGCGTTATCCTTGAATCACTTCGTTTATATCCATCCGGCCCATTCATTGCAAGACGATCACGATCCGAACTCAAATTGAATGAACAAATTATTCTCCCTGAAAATATTAATTACATTATATTCATTCAACATATGCACATGAATCCAGAATATTTTCATGAACCGAAAAAATTTTATCCAGAAAGGTTTCTACGTTGTCGTAAAGAAACAGAATTCGAATGGGTAAATCATCAGGCTTATCTACCGTTCAGTGGTGGCCATCGCATGTGTCTTGGTAAAGAATATGGTTTAATGCAACAAAGAATGTTTCTCATCAATATATTTCGACGATATCGTGTAAAATCATTAGATAAATTTGGTGATTGTCAACCTCGTTTCAATTTTCTATTATCATCCGCACATTTTCCTATACGTTTTGAAAGGCGACAGCCACAATCAACACCGGCAACACCATCATTTGTGACCACCAAAACGAAATATAGTTTTCTCTAATAAATTTAACGAATTGAATTGCCGAACTCATCGATGATTATGTTCAATTTTTTCGTTTATTTTTGGTGATTTTTGAATTTTTATTTAACAAATATTACGAAATCATACATTATATTTTCATTAATTAAAAAATGACAATTAAAAGACGATTTAAAAACTATAATTATACGCCGCTATGAAATCAATCGATCAACAACCTTTTTTTCCATTTTTGCTCATTATTATTATCATTATGATAATCATTTATTAGTTATCAAATTTTCTTGTTGTTTAATGATGATAATGAAGATATTTTAGTAAAAAAATTGCCAATAATATTTACATCATCAACAAAAACAGCCTTATCAGTATCATATAAATTTGTTTCTCGCATTTCTTTCTTTTAACAACCACAAACGCCTGTTGCTGATAATGGAATTGATTTCTATTGAATCGATAAACGGAATACAAATAAATAATTCATGTGATCGATTAAATAATTTTTTTTCACTCGTATGATTTTACTCTATTTACAGCGCGAATACGATTGGAAATGAATGGATGATTCACTGTATTTATCATGTCAAATTTTCTGATAATTTTTTTGACAAGAAAACCACGCGTGTAATGTGTTCGGTGTTGATCATAATGGCCGATCATATTCTAATGTCGGTAGTAGTGGCCGCGTATATTTTTGCTTATTTATGTGCCATCAACAATAGGAAAGTAAACACAAAGATTGAAAAAAATCCTAGTTCGCGACCTTAGGTCAAACATAGAATTCACGAATATACCACCACTACCACAATTGTTATTACAAGGAAAATTCAATAATGTCATTAACATGCATGCAGGTTTGACCGGCTGAACTGTATTATTCCTACCATTTTTTTCGTCTTCTCTTTATTGGGATGATCTAGTTTGCATGGTTGTTGTTGTTTTCCTCGACATTTCTCTTCATCTTTTTTTTCGGCCAATCATTCTTCGACAATGTTGTCGTTTTCGATACATTTTATTTTATTTAACCTTATTATTGTGTGTTTGTGCATTTGTCTGAATGAAAACAACAACAACAACAAGAAGTTTAAAATTGAGCAAAAAAATTCTTCCCGAAAATAAAAAAGTAGAGATCGAAATTCTAAAAAAAAAAATTTCGATGAATTCTATGGACCCTAGCATATTGGCCACACCAATATCTGGCACATTTTGAACATTGCCTCTTCCACATTAGAATTTTAACCTTATTCTAATTTAATATATACGGTGTGTGTGTGTGTGTTTGTGTGCGTATAAGTTAATAATATCGAGTTTTACAAAAAGTGCACTGTTCGATTATTATTATTATTTTTTGTCTGTTTTGTGTACCAATTGGAACCAGATATTTCGCTGCAGTGAAAGTTTTTTTGTTGTTGTTGTCGTTATCATTGTTTTTTTTTTGCTTGCTCTGTATATTTGTGTGTATGTTTGTATGGCAGTATACACACCATACAACAGTCGACCATCACATCAATCAAATAGACGCACACATAACACAAAAATAGATAGAGAATCAAAGAAGATCTTTTAATGGACTTGTCGAACACATCAGAATGGATATATTTTGCAACAATAATAAACATTCCACAACACAAATACAAAATAAAAATGTTTATAAGATTTTGGAATTTGTTTAATCATTCTCCTTAATTCACCGAATTTTCATTCATTAACCAATCTGATGTGATTGTTCTATCAATCGAAAATTTAAAACTTTCTCTTTCGATTATTTGTTGGTCTCACCATCCATCATTTTCATCAAAACAACTTTTTTTCGTCCAATAGAATTCGATTGTATTCACTCACACTCATACACATCGCTTCTTTTATAAGACTGAAAAAATCGACTACTGCCGAAACAAAATACGTCATATAAGACATACGTTACCATCATTGAATATCAACAATAATCTTACTAAATACGAGCAGATTTATGAGCATCATACGACAATTGATAAACAATAATACTTTGATATAAGAAAAACAAATTTTCATTTGTATTTCTTTTACAAACAGATTTTTTTTTGATAATAATCATCAATTAACATGGACGATTCCAATTCATGGGATTGTTCCGTTTGTACTTATCGTAATAGTGCTGAAGCATTTAAATGTTCAATGTGTGATGTACGTAAAGGAACATCAACCAGAAAGCCAAGAATAAATCCCGAAATGGTGGCCAAACAGGTAGCTCGACAACAGGAACAGATTAAACAACAAGCATTGAAATCAGCGGTTAAAGATCATCATCATCATCGTAATAGTAAATCATCTGAACATAGATCATCATCATTGAAACGGATCGATGATACAAATAGTAATTCAAGTGTGGCCAGTACATGTAGCAGTGGGCGTAATAGTCCAGTGATCAATTCAAATTCGAATTGCTCAAATAGTTTGGAATCATCATCTAATCAAAGCTCCATAAATAATACTGCCAATAATTCATTATCATTTTTTGGTATGATATTTTTAAATTAATGTATTTATTTCTTAAATAATTTGTCCACCTCTGAAATTAGGTCATTCAATTAAACAACAATCCATCAATACTGCCACCGCATCGAAATTTCAAATGCCTTCGACCTCATCATTATCAAGGCATTCATCATCGACAAATCATTTTGATGATGAATACGATGAAAGTAATGATAATGTCAATGATGATGAATTTGATATAGCCAATCTAAACGTTTCGGATGAAAAACAGCCGGCAAGTAACAATAAAAATAAAGGCCGTAAAAATAGCAACAATGGTAAAATTATGGCAGCACCACCGAAAGCTAGGCTAAAGAATGTGGATCGAAATGATGTGCAAGTGGAAGAAGTAACAGTTAATAATATAACCGTGGTTATAACGGAATTCAAACCAAAACGAAATGGTAAATACAATCACAATAATACAATCGAGAATACAAGTCCACAAAAATCAGAAGCATCGACTAATAAAAAAGATTCAATTTCAAATAAAGAACAAAAATCCAAAGAAAATCGAAAGTCAAACAATAATAGTGCAAGTAATCCAGATGGTAAATCAACAAAATCCTCTGCATCAAAAAAACGTACTTCAGCCGAAATGAATGATCTAAATCATTCAGCAACAAAACGAATTACTGTAGCCAACGCTGATTAATAGGGATTTGATAAAATTTGTAATTTTATTCTAATCCAACCAAACAACATCTGCATCTACTTTAGTATAACTAATCCTTTCCCAAAAGTAAATCATAATCAACATGCAAACATGCATCAAAATCACACACACACAATTATACATATTATTTTGCTATCTACAATTTCTTTTCTTTTTTTTTGTTCTAATTATCTTCCTGTCGATTTATTTGCTATCATTCACTATATTGATCTAATCAATTTTCTACCTACAACATACAGACATGCATAAATCATCATTCATAAATTCACAATATGAAACATTAAAGTCAGACAGAATTCATTGGTTTATGTGATGTTTGTGTATCGGTTGCTCGTGCAAACAAAGACAACAAAAAAAAAATCAAATTGTCACATTGTATTCTTTTGGTTTTCACTCTTCTTCGTTTATGTATAGAAATTGATGAAAATTTCATTTCAAATAATTTTTTTCCATTTTAAATGACTCGAATCTGTACATTTTTTCATGTTTTCTGTTCCATGATGACGATTTATTGTGTTTTTCTGTATAATTTCCTGTCAATTTTTGATTCAAACGATAATTTTTGTTTGAAGAATATTTATATATTTTGTCATTTAATTGATCATTCTGAAGATTCCAATTTTTTGAATACATTTTTCCCATTCGTTTTTTGATTGAAAAATTTTGATTTTTTTTCATCTGTGTCCTAGTATTTATGAAACGCTCTTATTCGACAGCTTTTAAAAATTGAATCGGCTAGCTCGCATGTGTTTTATTCGAAGTTATTATTAAACTTCAAAATTGGGTGAAATTTTGATCCAAAATAATGGCTCCTGTCACAAGATCAAGTTTGAAGAATATTGAAAATGATTTCGGCGTTAATAAATGTACTGTTTTGAAGAAAAAAACACCAGAAAAGAAAAAAAATAAAAAGTTGATCAAGAAAATCGATGAAGATTTTGATGCTGAAGAAATCGATAATGATAAGGATGATAATTTTGACCATAAAGATTATGAAATAGAATCCAGTTCCGAAAACGATGAAGACAAAATGTGCGATAGTGATAATGATTTTAATGTGGAATCAGATGAAGATGATGAAAAATCAAATAAACGAATAAAAACCAAATCTCAAACTCGTAAAAAAAGAATAAATCAAACTAAAAATAATGAGAAAAAAACACCGGTTAAAATGAAAAAAAATTTTCCTATAAATAAAAAGTTAGATGATGATAGAAGCAATGTTTTTATGAATCACGATGATGATAATGATGAGGATAACGATGATTGGGAAGAAGTTGAAGATTTGGATATATACAAAAATGATAATGATTTTAATCTGGAAAATTATAATCCAGATATTCCGGATAAAATTCAAATATCACTCGGTGATTCAAATGAACGACAAAAGAAAAATAAATCCAAACATTGGAAATGGGTTCGTCAATGTATTCGTGTTGATATGAATCATAAACGTAAACAGAATCAAATTCATGCACATCAAACACATCTATTATTATCCATGTATCGGCTTCAATATCTAAATTCAATAATACAAAATGATCTAGTTAAAGCATTGATTCTATCATCCACATTATTTCAACAACTCGAATCAAAAAGTAAAACAAATAACGTTGAGAAAATGCTTGAATGGTTTCGTCAACATTTTAATATATCAATAAAAAAAGGAAAAAAATCTTCTGAAAATATTCTTGATGAAATTATAAAAGCATTCGAATCGAATAAAATAACATGTCCATTAATTTTACATCTTATAATGGTTAGCTTTCTTCGTCAGATTGGACGAAAGATTCGTCTATGTTATCTATTGTGTCCAGTGCCAATAAAGGCAATGAATTTGCTTACAGCAAAAAGTAAATTTGAAAAGAATCGATCCGAACCCATATTGGGTGGTGGTATGCCAAAAATTTCAGAATCTCAATGTTATTGGCTAGAAATTTTCGAAAATAACAAATGGAAAAGTGTCGATTTTTTCAATGAAATTTACGATGATTCATTTTCCATCACAAATAAAAGGAAAAGATCAATAACATTCGTATCATATGTGTTTGCTATTGATAATGATGGGTTTTTTGCCGATGTTACTCAACGGTATTGTCCATTTTGGTATAGTCGAAATCGCGTTAAAAATCGTGTCGATGAAGAATGGTTGCAAGTTACAATGCAACCATTTCAACGTTCAAAAACTGCATCCGAGATCAAAGCCGATCAAAATGAATTTGATAAAATGTTAGAAAATGTTGAACTTCCACGATATCGAACCAATTATAAAGATCATCCGTTGTTTGCATTGGAACGTGATCTTCTTCAGTATCAAGCATTATATCCACCCAATCCACCACCATTAGGTTTCATTAATGATGAGCCAATCTATTCTCGTGATTGTGTTCAGCTATTAAAATCTCGAGAACGATGGTTACGTGATGCACGTACAGTTAAATTGAATGAAATGCCATATAAAATTATTAAATCCCGGTTGAAACGAAAACGAAAATCATCATCAATGATGATGGATTTCAATGGCGGTGGTTGTGAATATATTCGTGAAGAATTGGAGCTATTCGGTCATTGGCAAACCGAACCATATATTCCGCCTGTTGCCAAAAATGGCATTGTTCCTCGTAATGCTTATGGTAATGTTGACTTATATCAGAAATGTATGTTGCCTAAAGGTACTGTCCTATTGGAATCGAAACCATTTCTTGTACGATTAGCAACCAAAATGAATATTGATTGTGCCCCAGCTGTCATAGGATTTGCTTTCAAAAAACATCCAAATCGAATCAGTTTTGGACCGGTTATTGGTGGCTATGTTGTATGTAAACAATATGAACATAAACTATTAGATGCTTATGAACAATTTCGACAAGAACAAGAAGCTAAAGATCAAGCAGCCAAAGAGAAACTAATATATGGCAATTGGCGACGATTAATTCGTTGTGTAATCATTCGCCATAATCTTAAAATTAAATACGGATCATAAAAATGATCATAGATGGCGCATTGTGATTGTAATTTTTTTTTTAAATAAAATTTTTAAAAATCATGTTACTAATTAATGTTGTATTGTTCAAATTGTATTCTGATTTGTTTTCTTATCATCTTTATGTTTTTTGACTTTTGGCTACTCTTATTTCAATTTTTGAACTTAATGAGAATATTTCCATTGTTGAATGTGGGAGTGAAACATAATTTTCGGATGTTTTCAGAATGCATAAATAGATAAACACAAATAATTATAATAATAATGAAAAAATTCGTTTTGTTTTTTCTACAAAATACGTTGTCCAGGATAACTACACAACTGATAAATTCAAATTACAAATATTATTATCGGTGATAATAAGCAGCACTACTTTCTCCAATTTCATTTCATCAGCTTACATTTTTGAAATTCAAATGAGAAATTTAAGATTCTAAAATAGAAAAATCATTTACAATGCAAAGAAATGGAAAATATTTGGATTATAATCATGTTAACATACAGAATACCATCAAAATATTGTTACGATTAAATTCCTTTGAAAAAAATTTCAGAAACAAATATTTTTTTTCTTCGTACAACCACACACTCTATTCATTTCATTTACTTACAAAGAATTTGAATCAATAAATTGAAAATTCTTGATCTATAACAAAAACCAAAAAATTAAATTAAAAATGAAAGTTTATTCCTTTTCAAAAAACGAATTCAAAAATTCGAAAAAGTGTTTTTTTTCCACTTTTGATCATTGAGAAATCATTGTAATTGAATTAACATTTACTTTATTCGATCGTCGTGATTTAAGATGAAGCAGTTAAAATAAATTCGAAAACAAATTTATTTTGACTGTAAATAAATCTTACCTTTGTTTGATAATAATGTTTGATTAATTATTAATTTTTTCGAAAAAAATAATTAAATTTGTACTAATTACAATAAAAAAAATACAAGATATCTGAAAAAAATCAATTGATTCGTATGGAAACAAGAAATAGATGCAAATGAATGAATATTATCATTAATAATTTAAATGAACAAATACCATTTTTAAGGTTATTTTTTTTATTCATTAATTTCAATTTGTTCATTTTCTTGTCCGGTAAATATTGTTTTTCTTCGTCATTTTGTTTTGTTTTGGTTTCAAATTTGCAAAAACGATGACATTTGTTCAATTCTTTGTTTCCGTAAATGTTAAATTTTGCGCATGATCAATTCAACTAGTGATGATGTGATTCTTTGGATTCACAATTCATTAGGATTTCCTGTGTATGGTCGTAATAATAACAATAAAAACATGAATTCATTCGTTGTTGATTTTCATTCGAACAAAAACGGTTATCGTGAACGTACAATTTTTTAAGTTCGACATTTTTTTTCTGTGTCATATTTTGTTTCAAGAAATCATTATCATCATTGTTTCTATTTAATCGTGAAAAAATGTTGATGAAACTTTTGATAATATTTTCAGCCATATCAATGATCTGTTCTACGGATCCAAATGAATTGATGTCGGCAAAGAAAATAAAAATAAACATTCCAAATGATGATAATGTATTGACTGAAAATATTATTCGTTCACCGATCATCATCGATGATTGGTATACAGCATCATCCGCGAACAAAGACCCCGAATATCATGATAAACTTAATGTAAGTTTTGTATGCAATTTTTTGTTACTCCCCCATTAATCAATAAGTTTTGTGAGTGCAGAGAAAACTATTGTTGCGAAGAATGCTAGCACAATTAAATTCCAATGCCGAAACTTTGATCGACAAAGAGAAAAGGTAATTTAAAATTTGAATATCAAAATTTTTTGAAAAATCAACTCTTTTCTTTTTTTGTCATTTTGAATCCAAAAGAGAAGATGATATACCACCCGGTTTCATTGGTGTTCGAGGTCGTCGATTTCCAATGTATCTTCAGGATCTTCGTTCCGTATTTCCATTGGGATCAAACCAAAAAAAAGATGCACCAAACATTTATCGAGATGGGTTTCTTGGTGTTCGTGGATGAACAATGAATCACAATAATAATCAATCAATCATGATGGTAATCATCATCATCATCTTCTTCATCATCATTATCATCATTCTAATCATGTTTGCGAGAAATAAATAATTTTTTTTAAACTTTTAAATTTTAACCGTATAAAAAATTGTCAAAAGATTTTTCTCTCAATTGTCATTCGAATAGTTGAAATTATTTCATTTTGTATGTGATAATGTCATACACAATCGCTCTTCTTGAAATACTCTTATTTTGAGACAAAAAAAAAACTGTCGAATTTTGTTTCATTTTATTTATTGAAAATTGTTCTTATAAACATAAATTAGTGTTAAACAAAAACACCAATTATTTGAATTCAAAGAATACAAATTAACACTTCTATTGATGGAAAAATTATTATCCTATTACAATAAATCAGTTTGTGTGTTTGGGTCGCCATTCGTAAAAAAATATTGAATTTACCGCGCAATTTATCCTATATATGAATGGTACCAATTTTAATCATCATCATCAACAACATCATCGAAATCAAATCAAAATAAAAATAAAACCCACATTTGATTTTTACATTCTTCTCGAATCAATCATATTATTTCTCATTTTCAATTTGATTTGTTCTTTACAATCTATATATTTTGATGATTTGATTCCCATTCTAAATGGCATTTCTTCAGGTATTATGGACAATTTTTTGTTTGTTTTTGAACTAATTTTTCAAATTTGTATTGTTCTCAAAGTGGAGGCGTTTTAATTTTTTTGAAAAAGAAATTTTCAGCGAATCTAGTGATCAATTGGTTGAATTGGCTAAAGTATTTTGTAATTTCTCTTAAAGATTTGAAATAATTTCTTTCTGCTTTTCTCAGTCATGTCAGATTACTTGTTCATCATCTGGTCAAGGTTACCTAGTTCTTGGTGACAATCTTGGTCTTGTCAGTTTTGTTACACGACAGCATTCAATTTCATCATTCACTGCCTATAAAATTGCTGTCACACATTGTGCTAGCATTAAAACAACCACAACAACCGGATCATCAAAAGTTTCACTAAAATCAAATTTTTATCTGATTACGATTGGGACCGATAATGAAGACTTAATTCCGATCCTAAAAATATGGGCAATCAATGAAAGCTTAATATTAGCAGCGAAAACACAATCATCGAATGTTGAACAAGCAACCGAAACTGGCAATAATTCAGCAAATCCTTTGGCCCAATGTATTCGTACCTTAAAACTTTGTAGTCATAATTCTACCATATCACAATTGTCCGCTTTAAGAGTTCATTCGATGGTCACGACTTTAGATGTGCTTGGCGATTCAATGTTGGCTATAGGTTTCAATGATGGACATTGTTTACTCATAAAAGGTGAACTGATACGAGATCGCGATCGAAATCTTCGCATTAAATTATTAGATGTATCTGAAAATGATTCTGTAACTAATGTCGCTTTCGCTACAAATTTGCGGAACAAGCCATTAAAATCGGTTCGTGGAACTTCTTCAAGCGAAAATATTGTACGACAATTTGTCACATTATTCGTAGCAACACGGAAAAAAATTTATTCATACAATCTCACGACTGCAGGACGTGATAAGGATCTTCTCGAAGAAAAACATCTGCTTGGTTAGATTTTCATTTAAAATCATTTTCCAAACGTTAAATTTACTTTCTGATTTAGATGCTTCGCTTGATGTTTTTGGTTGTGAATTCGGAGCCAGTTGTTTGAAATATGATCCGAAAAAACTAGAATCCATACAGTTTATTGTCGGCCAAAAAGATGCCATCTACTTTTATAATACCGATGATCGTGGACCATGTTTGGCACATGAAGGTCAGAAGCTATTTCTCACGTGGTTTCGTAATTATTTAGTCGTGATCACATTGAATGATCATTCGAATCTTCTGAAATTACCAAAAAAAAATCAAAAAATGAATGAGCAAGAATCAATCTCGGCAAATATTGGTACTTCATCAATGTTATCGAATCCAAATCCAAATCTGATTACTATCTATGAAATTGAGCAAAAATTCATTGCCTATTCATGTCCGATTCCGGCTGTAAGTCAATTAATTTCTGAATGGGGTGAATTGTATGCAATTACTACGGATGGTCGTGTGGTTATATTCAAAGAATGTGATATTCAAACTAAATTAGAAATTTTATTCAAAAAGAATCAATTTTCATTAGCTATCGATTTAGCTCGTACACAGACCTATAGTCAAGATGTATTGGCTGATATGTTTAAACAATACGGTGATCATCTCTATCAGAATGGTGATTTTGATGGTGCAATTAATCAATATTGTCAAACGTTAGGGTACCTCGAACCATCTTATGTTATTAGGAAATTTCTCGATCTTCAACGTATTCATAATTTAACTGCTTATCTACAAGAAATACATAAACGAGATTTAGCTACCGAAGATCATACAACATTATTAATTAATTGTTATGTTAAATTAAAAGATGAATCAAAATTGAATGAATTTCTTCGCTCATCCGATTTGGTTTTTGATGTCGAAATCGCAATTCGTGTATTGCGTCAAGCTGGCTATTATGATAATGCAATTATGTTAGCACGAAAACATCGGAAATATGATTCATACTTTTCCATTCTATTAGAAGATAAAGCCGATTCTCATACAGTATTGGATTCATTCACTGATATGATTCGTGAAGGAGAAGATAATTATCCCATTGTGGGTCGATATCTACGAAAATTCGGTCGAATGTTGATGGCAGATGAACCGGATAAAAGTACTGAACTTTTAAAGCGATTATGTTTATTTTATTTGAAGCAATTTTGTTTACATCAACAGCGAAAAAACTATAAACAAAAAACTAATGATTCTGATTCCAAAAGTTTAGGTATGTTTTAAATTGTTTTATATCTTGATCATGCACTAACTTATTTACGAGTTTAGATTTGCTAACAAATTTGATTGCCGATAATGATGAAAAACAGGTTGAAATCGAACAAAATCGACCCGAAAAATACCTTCATATCTTTCTTAATAATTATTCAAAAATGATTGAATTTCTAGAATATATTTTGAATGAATGGAAAAAACTTCAGAACCCAGATTCTTCAACAGAAGTTCCAATCGAAATTAGTAATACATTGTTGGAAATGTACATGCATTCTTACAAAAATGAAATTCAAGAAGATGTATGAGATAAAAATTCTTTCAAAATCTCAAAATAACAATTAAGTTTTAATGGCCTAAACTTTTTTTCTTAAAAAAATTAGGGACTTGCTGAAAATCGCGACAAAATCATGTCTTTCTTACAGGACCCTGATTCTAATTATGATATAAAAAAGGCGATGATTTTATGCCAGATGTCTAATTTTATACCAGGCGTTTTATTTTTATATGAAAAATCCAGAATGTATAAACAAATTCTCTCACATTTCATTCAACGCAAAGATAGCCAAAGTGTAATGCAGACATGCCAAAAATATGCAGACCAAGAATGTCCGCAACTGTGGGTTGATTCGTTACAATATTTTGCCGAAATCTTTACTCTCGAACAAAAGGACAATATTGAAACAATCCTTGAAAGTAAGCTGTTCAAAAATAATTGCCTTTTTAAATCAAATAAAAACTATTTCATCATTTTAACAATTTAGAAATCGAATTACATCAATTATTACCACCGTTGATGGTGGTCGAAATTTTATCAAAACCAGGTAAAGTTACACTAGGAGTTTGTCGCGAATATCTTATGCAATGGATCAAAACACAACAAGAACAAATTGATGAAAATGAACGATTAATTGTTGAACATCGTGAAGAATATGAACGTACTCGTAAACATATTGATGATATTCAAAATAAACCAAAAGTATTTCAGGCAACTAAATGTACGGCTTGTTCACATTTGTTGGAATTACCATCCGTACATTTTATGTGCAATCATTCATTTCATTTAACTTGTTTTGAAAGTTATATTACTGATAATGACCAAGAATGCCCCAGTTGTCTACAAGAAAACAGGTAACTTTGTTATTCTAATTATCCTAGTTTTTAAAATTTATGTTTTTTAATTCAATTTTTTTGTTTATAATCAAGAAAAATCCTAAATGAAATTAGCATGTTTGATAATGTAGAAAATGTGAATGATTTATTTCAGAAAGAATTACTCGAATGTCGTGACGATCCGTTTGATGTTATTACTAGATATTGTAGCCAAGGTTTATTCAATCCATTCACCATTGTTACTGATGATGGTATCATAAAATCAAATATTTAAGGTAACTTTATTCAATAAAATTCATTCTAATTTTTATCTATAACACTTGTATATTCAATTACAATTTAGATGCAAAATTCATATGTTTTTTAATGACGTGATAATTGTATATTTAAGGAAAATTATCCGTTATGTTTTCTAATCTTTCATAATTCCGTTGAATTTTTTTGATCATTGTCATTGTAATCATCAAACCATAATCTTTTTCAACAGATCATCATCAAAAGACACTGACAAAATAAAATTTTCGCGTGTCGGATAAATTTGTACGCGTTCGTTTATAATTGAAAATTGTGTGTAAGTTTGAGAAAAAGTGTGCGAGACGTTTTGGCTATCCTATCACATTTCACAGTTATTGAATTCATTATCACACGAGCGTTGCATTAACGTATTTTAAACGTAATGGTTGGATTGAAATCAAATTTTGATTGATGGTGATCAAATTTTTTCGCTTATTTGACATTATCGGCAACATTTATTACTGTGATTCTTTGTTTCAAGGAACATAACAGATCGGATTAAAATGTTGATGATTCAATTCAGTTGGACAAATAAAGAGGCGTCAAACAACTAAGTCGGTATTTGGATGATGGCCAAAATTATTTTTTGAAAAAAATAAGAAAAATCTTGTCATACCATATGGAAAAACGATTTTTTGCATATTTTTTCAAATGAATAAATAACCGACTGACTAAATTGTCAAATTGATAGTGTGTGAACGCGTTGATATTATCATCGATATTTATCGAATCATCAAATATATGAAGTCTTCAGCATATCAATTTAGTTGGCCAAGTTTCTTACAGAGTATCTTCGATATTGGATAAATTTTTCAACATTCCTATAAAAAAAGTTACACTGATACTATAACGACATTGAAAATTTATTTATTATTAGCCTGATCTTTCGATTCATAGGTAAATGTAATGCTGAGATTATATTAAATCAAACAACATGATATATTTCATCAAACAAAAATATTGCTGCCAAAAATTGGATCATTTTGATTTTCAATGATCACTGTATGCATTCATGATCAATTGAAAAAGAAAATCTGGATAACAAAACAAACTCAAATTGATTTTTATCTATAGGTACTTTAGTTTTTTTTCAAAAACATTTGTTTTGTCATTTTTAAAATAAAATGAATAAATCTATTAAAATCGAAATTTGTAAAAAGAAATTGTGTGAGAAAATACTGTAATATTGTGTCAAAATGATTATAAATTAGTCTTTGTTCATTCATTGGATTTACCAATAATTTGAAAGTCACATGAATAAATTTCATTGATCGTACAAAATGATTGTACTGTAATAATGTCTTCTTGATTGATCAAATAAAATCTTGATAATCGATAAAACAAACAAACATAAATGGTTTGGGTTGAATGGAATCTTCATTTTCGGATCATTCTCATCTCATGGAGGCAATCATCATCCTCAATGAAATTAAAAAACAAAAACAAAATTTTGAAAGATGCTCAGAAAATAACAAAAATTAATCAAACTTGAGATTATTTGTAGATTAATCGATCTCATCATGACATTTTATGAAATATGGATAATGTTTCAAAATGAACTTGTCAACATCTTTCATTCATAATGGTTATGATGATGATTGTCATTATGATAAATTTGAAATATCATCACACAACCAAGACTTTTTTTCGAAAATGAATTTTTAACAATTGATCATTCCAAAGGAATTTCTACCAAAAAAAAGGGGAGGTAATCAACTAAATTACAGGTTTAACCGGACTTCAACATAATCATGATTTTTTTGATTAATATTTTTTTTCTATTTCAATTCAAATATAAAAATAGTCTGATATTCAATAAGAATCTCTGGTTATAATAATTGAAAAAATTAAAACTTGTTCAACGATTGAATAGATTTTTGAATTTTATTTAGTTAATTCGGACTCTAATGGACAACTTATATAAATGATTTCGAAATTAGGGGATTTTCTCATAAACAAACTAATGTTTATCCAAAATCGATGATGACAAGGAGGATGATGATGATGATGGTTGTGACGGTGATCGTGGTTATCCACGATCAAATTCCGAAATCCAATTTTTGTTTGTGTTGTTTTAATTTAATAATCTAATCACAGTATCAAAATTTGATTATTTTCAATTTATTATCGTCACAAGGAATCTCATAATCGTCATATTTTTGAATATTACATTTTTTTTGATTGATGATATCATCATCTGATTTGCTAAAAATGACAAAAACAATTTAATATCACAAGTACACACACTTACTCGCACCAACTTACATAAACATATCAAATGGTGATGATGGTATGACGGTCCTCGTGATATTTTCGGCCATCGTCTTTTTATTTAAATAAATCATTTTTTTTTAAATTGTTAATCATATGAATGAATTAATATTATTATCAAATGATAATATTGACAATTTGATTAAATCAATCATATCCAACTATTCGTAATTAATTGATGTAATAATTGATTAGTAAAGTGATTTACAGGAATGATATTTCTATTGCTACCTGTTGGTTTTTTCTGTCAAAAAAACACTCTTATCCCCAATTACACTGAAATCGTTTCGCTTTTTTGAATCAAGTGATTGTCATTGAATTTAAAATAATTCAGTTGTAATATTTGCATTAATGGATTATAATTATTATTCCTTACTTATTTTTTTCAGTAACATTTTATTTACAAAAAATAATATGAATCGAATGATTTTTTCTCGCTAATGGTCAACCAATCAAGAAAGCAGAAACAATCATTTCATCATCAATACTGATGAATGTTATAATCATTGGCAACATGCCTAAATTGTTTGTTTTTTTCAAATATTGGATCGAATGATCTTTTGTAAAATAACGAATAAACAAACAACTGATAAGCTTTGATTATTGTTGCTTTAATGAAAAAAAAATTATCATAAGAAAATTAATTAATAGTTTCATCCATATAGTTGTTCACAATTTTTGTTTTTCCATTAGTTTAATCTGGTGATAATTTACTTTTGGTGGGAACAGAATAAATAAATCTCATGGTTTGAAAAGTGTGATTGGAATTTATCTGACAAAATCGATTCAATAGACCAATTGAATATCACTGTTATTGAAGAATGAAAACAATGAATACTGAAATCTAATTGTTAAATTGTAAGAAGATCCGATTTATTTTTCTTAGGTATTATTTGAAAACGAATCAGAACACACGTTATACACAATCATTTTCATCATTATCACCATCATTATCAACATCATAATCGGCATTTGGTCATGAATAAAATGAATGCTGATTCGATTTTTTTTTGTTGTTGTTTTGGTTTTGTTTGTTTCATTTTTAAGAGCCAAGTATTTTTCTTTTTCTTTTTTTTGTTTGTTCATAATTTTATCATTTTCATTAATTCATTCATAATCAAATTAATGGCAAATTTTTGAAAAAAGTCATTTTTAATGTGTGGGGGTGTAAAGATAGTAGAAGAGAAAGAAAGAACCTAAGACTTTCGATATAAAGAAAAATAGATAATTTTTTTTCTGTTGTTGCCACCAATTGATTGATTTGATTCAATCAATTGATTAATCCGTTGTATTTTTTTTCTTTTGAATATATATGAGAACATATATCTATTCATTAGATAAGTTTACAAAATCAAAAAAATAAAATAAAATAAGAAAGCTGTGCCAAAAAGTACCAGTTTGTTTATAATTGTTATTATTATCAATATCTTTGAGGGGAAAAAATGATTTTCAGGCATGATATTTTTCAGAAAAAAGACCGATCGCACGTTCGTATAAAGATGTTCGCAATAAAAAGATTAAGTTTTTATTTTTTCTCTTTTCTTACTTTTGCTATTCAATGTTCATATGATGATAAAATTTAGTGAGAAATCTTAAGATTTGATCTTATTTTTTTTGTTCTCTCTTTCTATATATCTTTTTATAGAGATTACTATGATTGGCTGTATACTTTTGTTGGATATGGATAAACAGAAACACGCCTTTTTATTTAAAAATGATAAAAATAAAAAATAAATTTCTTATTGAACCTAATTCAAAATTAACGATTAGTATAAATACCGTTGGTAAATTCTACATCACTCATAAGTTATCATTACGAATACAAGCACACGACAAACAAATAAATAAACCAATCGAAAAGATACCAAATTAAATTGAATCCATTTCAAAGCAACAAAACATCATTATTGATTTTTTTCGTCAGTCGAAATTTGTTTTTACAAAAAAAGTTTTTTTCGCTTCATTTCTACATAAAGATTTTCAAAATGATTCGATCATCATCATTCTTTATAACAAATAAATTCATCGCTTCGGCTTCTATAATTTGTTCCATTTTTATATTGTTTAATTTAGCCATCACTTGTGATGGTTTACCAATATTCGACGATGGAGATTCATTTGTACCGGATAGTGGAGATTTACAACGTAATTCACAACGATTACATCGAACATTGTTCCTATTGGACACGAGTAATTTATTAAAGAAAGCTCGATTATTAGGCGTCACTGGTGGATCATCGAGCAATAGCAACGCTATCAGCAATGCTATCAGCAATATGGTTGAACGTTCATCAAGAATTTTTCGATTCAGGCGTGAAGCAAAACCACCAAAAGTTGAAGCAACAAAATATATTAACGTTATTAAGGTTAGAAAACCATTTCTAAGTTTGGATGGTGGATCGCAACGACCTGGATTGTCCGAAGCAACGCGACGTTAAAGAAAAAGAAAATGTTAGAATTTACATCAAACATCTTTAGATACAACCAACGACAACAAAATATTCACTAACCAATGGTTTCCTATTCGCACATCCATGCATTCAATCCATGATTGAAATTTTGATGCTTCCTAATCATCAAACATCAAGCACCATTATTATCATAATCATCATAATCATCATCATTTTGATCAATTGTTTACTGAATAGAATCCACACTATCGAACCAATGAATTTGTTCATGACATCATCCTATTCATCGTCCTAATCATCAGCACAGTAGTTTTTCATCTGATTGTTATAATTATGATTTGAAATTTATCAAATCAAATTCACTATTGAATCGTAAGAAAAAACAAACACAAATAACATTTTACTCTCTACTAAAATGATACTTAAATACTTTGTGAGAGTTCATTAATTTAAATCACACTATTTCACTTTAAATGGCTTCCTATTCATATTTTGTTACGAGACAAGATTCATCAACACCATGAATCATTTTCATCATCATTATTCGCTTAAATTATGAAAAAATGCTAAACTCAAGATTAAACTCTGAGAATTTTATTTCCTTTCAATTTTTTCATCTCTTTTCTTTCTCTTCTTACGAATTTAATTATTCTTATATAATTTTGTAAATATTCTTTCATTAATTTTGTTCCTATGTTACAATGATGATGATGATGATGATAATGAACAACAACATTATTACACAAAAAAAAATATATTTGTAAATTAATATTCTATTTGATAGAAAGTATATAAAAAATGATAAGTATAATGTTTCATATAAAATAAATTTGATTCGAATTCTTATTTCATTTTGTTTAATTATTTTTTCGTTTTGTTTTCTTTGAAAATGGATTTTTTCTTATTTCTTTTTTGCATACGTGTGTACTAATGTGTGCGTATCATTCATATTTCACATGTGCGCTGCCCTATATGATAATTAGCGATTGGAATGTTTAAAAAGAAATTATGAACTAAGCTCTAATAACCACCACCACCATCATCATCATCATAATAATCATCATCTTTTGTTTATCCGAGTGTGTGTGAGGTGTGGGAAGGAAATTGTATATTGAATGTCATCATCACGAATTTCGGTCGTCGCCGTGACCACAATTCTCTTTTTTCTAGTTTTTTTTCGTTTGAACTAAATTGATAATAGTGATGAATACCGAATCCTTGTTTTGTTCTGTTTGGAGCCAGGATCCTTGATCTTTGGATTTACCGAATCAAATTTTTCTTTTTTGCCTTGTTTGTGTATAACGCTATTTATAAGGATAGCGATAACAACAAAAACACTATGTTTTGAATTAGAAACAAAAAATTTTTCGTCATGAAAAGAGCAAAACAAGAGCAGAAATCGGACACTTTAATGATGTTGGATGAATGAAATTAGGTCATACATTATAATTTTCCGTTTGGCTGCTGATATTTTTTTTCAAAATTATGGAATTTTTTTTAATTATTGATAATCGAATTTTTGATATGGAATGGATCAAGGCGACCTAATGATGGTGGATAAGAAACGATAAAAAATCATTCATTGAAGAAATTGTCAAGTAGATATCATTTTGTTTGATGTTTTTTTGTAAATATCTAATTCGAGTTTTTTCCCTTTTTTAATTTATGTGATCGAATGTTCTCCTTTTTTCTTGCTATAAGTAAGCAAAATCTAAATTTGAAATCCACTGACCGAGGACAAAAATGGAAACATGATTATGAAGATAATACAAGCGAAATCGAGAGTGAACGAGAACTTTCGATTTTGGTTATGCGGTAATTATACTGAGACAAATGAGAAAAACAGCAGCAGCAGCAGCAACAACAACAAGATCTACAGCTTGATTTTTCATGTCATGTGATTGGTTATTTTATAATTTTGGACAATAACTTAAGAACAATTTCGGCCAACCATTTCCATTTACTTTACACAAAATGTATGTGCAATAAATCTTTTTTTGAAGAGATGAATTTACTATTTTAAGCATCATTTCTGTTGGTCATCAACATCATCATAATCACATTTGAATTATCATTCATATATGGATAAGTGGGCTAAAAATAGACAAATTTTATTTGATTTGGATGAGTTGGTCGGCCGATTCAATCAATTTGTTTACCTGGAAAAAAAATTCCATAAACTCGTTCGCTGATCAAAATTCGAATGAAAACTATATTTTTTTACAAACTAGTGTGCCATCTTTTGGCTGTAAAAAAAACTTTAATGTAATTCCGGTTATATTTTAGATTTTAATATCACCTTAAGATCAAAATTTGAAAAAATACATATATAATTTAAAATTTATTAATCAAGGTATCTATAAAATTTGTTATGAGTTGTTTTTCTCATAAACTTTTTTTACCATTATCATTAGTGATCATGGATTTATCATTTTTATTCAATTGTTTTGATTCATTTCGATATGATCGTCGATAAAAATCATAAAACATGTAGAAAAATATTGGATTTTGTCCAACGGCAATGACAAACCATGTCATTGGATAGCCCGTTTGACGAAAATATAATATTATTCCATAAAGGCCACAGATCAAAAATTGTAATAATTGTAATTGTGTGATATATTTTTTCCACCATAAATATTTTTGCATTTTTGGTCCAAACGCTGCTAACGCATAATATGAATACATTATCACATGAATAACGGTGTTAAAAGCTGCAAACATCATAATAATCGGTATTATTGGATTTAATTTGAATGAAAACCAGCCTAAATGAATATTCAAAGAGCAATAAAGTATCAAGAATATTTTAACATAATGAAGAATCTTACCCAAAAACGGTACAATCATATGATGATATACATGAAGAAATGTTATTTGATTATATTTTTTTCGCAAAGCAAAGAATATCGTATCAAACATGTCAAAAAATCTTGATAAATAACCAAACCATGCAAGCCAAAGCATTGTCATTGTCTTCGGACTACGGTCATTGCGATCAGGATATTTGAAATCAAAAAATAATCGACCATCAACATAATTTAATAACATAAAAAAGAATGTCGCATTAGAGATGACCATTATCGAATTATAGATGACAATAATAATTTTTAGATCATACGGTGCGCGATTTTGCATATAATATGGAAGAATTTTTTTCACTAATAGCCAATAAGTTAAGATAACCAAGACAATTTTCCATGCACCACCGCCAACCTAAAATTCAAAAAAAAATTCAATCATTTCAATTAGAATGAAATTCAAAATCATATGATTAAATTCGGTAATAACCATTGGATAATCGGCTGTACGTGGATCTTGAATATCGATCCAATATTGATGACAATAATACCAACAAGTATTGAGCAAATGTGCCATTTCGTTGAGCAAATTTCAAATAAAATAGTAGTCGATAACGGTTAAAGATTACAAATCAATATAAAAACAATTTTGAACAAGGAAATTTATACAAAATTCAACAACAGGAAAAATTTTAAATGATTTTTTTGCTGTTTTATTGTCACAACTCAAAATAAAGAAACTAATAATAACTATATCAATATTAATGATTGATTGAGAAAAAGACGAAAATTTTGACATGATAAAAATGACAAAAAAAAAGAAAAAGAAAAATTAAATTTCATTGAATTATTTTATTATATTTGTATTCATTCAAAATAATAAAACAATAAACCTACCTGAAAAAAATCAGAACCAAAAAATTCAATGATAAATGACAGATGAAAAAAAGTTTATTTTTGTCTCACTTTTTATAGGAAAATAACTGAATCGAGATCCATTTTACACAAGATTCGATGTTAACATTTGTGTATTTATTTGAGTGTCATTATTTTCAGATTTTTTTCTCGTGAAAAAAAATTCTAATTAAAATGGAAGAGACAATCAACAATAACGACAAGTTTTATAAGATATAGGCTACAAACATTGACGTAAACGATGACAAGAGAATGAAAAAAACTATTAGCTAAGTTTCATTGATACTAAATTGAAAATTGATTTTTTGTGTATTTTTTCGACGTTAATCATGATAATAAAAAATAAATGACAAGATAAGTTGTAGCAAGAAAATGGTATAAAACCCTAGTCTTTTCCTTGAAAATTATAGAAATTCTCTCATTATCTCTCAAAATAAATTTCGTTTTTCGTCGATCAATCAAAAATAAGAATTAATCGAATGATCGTAATGGTAAAGTAAAATTTTATTTGAAACATACTAAACAACACAATCACAATTCGTTTGAAAAACAATTTTCAGTTGATTATCTTCAGAAAAAAAATGAATTGAAGTTGTTGTTATCGGCATGGAACCTCGTCAAATATGAGCATATTGTATTGTTAAATTTTTTTTTAAAATTAAATTGACGATTAGATGATTGTTGAGATTCGTGTTGTCGAAATGTCGGTTTGTTTTTCACCTCAAAAAAAAACGACCATTCATGGCGTGTTTCATGCTTTCACTGATAATGGGAATTACTTCTTGAATTGCCATCTCTATTTGGAATCATTTTGGATGCTTCAAAAACATCCAATACAATTGAAACCGGTTTCTCTTGTTCCATTGTGTTTAAAAAAAAGGTGCGAGATGAAAAATTTCATCTTGGTTTTTATTGTTTGTTGGAAAACGTCATTTTACTTTTTCCGAAAAAAAATCACAATTTTCATTTTGTTTTTTTAGTTTCGATTATCTGACCTCGTTGTACCATTTTCGTTTGATTTAAATTTTCCCGCCTAATATTACTACTATTTACTACCATCTATCGCCAAATTAAGGAAACTAATGATAACGTATTTTGTTAATAGAGCAACAGATGTGTTTATTTTTATGCGCGGCAGTTGAAGTTTCAAATTGAAATTGAAAATCAAAAAATTTATTCATCAAAAAAGGAAGCAAATTTTGGAAGAATATCGCCATGAATCAACAACGTAGACAATTCAAAGGTTTGATTGAACGGAAAAAATATTACATTCAAGAATTTTTTCAGAAATTGGCCGAAAGCGATCCTGAAAATCTTCATTTTAGTAAAAAAGAATTTATTGAAATACATGGATTCTTGAGAAAGGAGGCCATGTGTACTCCCTGGCTGTACAAATTGATTGAGACAATCGTTGAAGATGGAATTTTTATTGATGATTCTACATTGGAAATTAACAAAATAGATTCAATCGAATCGACGGAATGTACTGACAATCGAATCGCTCAACTACAACAATCACTGGATGAACAACACGAATACAAAAGATTAATTGAATTTAACCGTAATCTTCTCAAAAAACGTGGAAATCAAGAATTCAATCATAGAAACACAACTGAAAATAATTTGGATATTATTGAATCTTGTCAAAAAATGAAACAATCCATTAATGAAACATATGAAAGTGGTGTAGGCAGCCAACTTGATAATAATAAATTGGATAATTTCATCAAAGAATCATTGTTCCGGCTAAAAGATGTCATCGACCATTACAATCAATCAATATCTTTAATCTCTGAGCGTTTCAAGAATGATGTTCGAAATGAAATCGATTCTATTCTTTTAAAATATTTGAAAATGAAATCATTGAATGAATGTGATAACGACTTATCGGACTTGAATGATTTTGTTGAAGCAAATTTAATGCCATTCAAAAGTCGTTTAAGTAAATTGATCGAACAATTGATTGAATTTAAAAATTTGCTTGAAAAATATCAAGAAAAACTTAATCTATACTATGATCATTGTCAACTTCGAAATGAATTGAAAATGTTAAAAAATCCGATTGAAGAACAATTGGATGAGATTCGAAACAGATTTATAACGGTAAATGAAATAGTGGGCAATTATACATATAATAATGATGCTTACGAAGAAATCTTTACGGCCATCCAAAATCTCAAACCCGAATCGATTTACGAAAAAATTTTACAACTAATTCGAAAATTTGATTCGGAAAAAATGCTTCTCGAACATGAACTCGAGCTTCAATTAGCTTAATATAAAGGCAAATGTGGATATGGTATCGTTTGTCAACAATTTTTTTCAAACTTTGGCAAACTTTAAATCAAGTGTTTATTGACAACACAATTATCACATATCATTTTACAACATTCATGTTTATTTTCGAAATATCTGTTATTTTCCATTTCAATGCGATTGTCATTATTTCAAGGTTGTCTGATGATCTTTTCTCCCAAATGTTCAAATTTTTCAATTTTTTGAAAATCAAGATTGTATGAATTGAATTTTTTTTACACAATTCGAATTTTTAATAAAATTTTATTCGACAAAAAAATGATGAGATATATGAGTATAATTGAGATTATAAGTTTGAAATGTGTGTTGAATAAATATTCAGTTTGGTTTTAATGTATCATCAACATTATGATCATTGTTTATTAAAGAATTAGTTATATTTCCGATGATATTTATTTGATAAGAAAAAACAACTTTCATGTATATGTATCTAGAATTGATTTATAACAATAAACAAAAATACATTGCTAATAAATGAAATTATCAAATTTGCCTGCAAAGATGATGATTTACTAGGCATTCCTTCCGCAATTTTATCAACCAAATTATTAACACCATCGGCCGTTTTATTAACAACATTCTGTGCAGATTCAGCTAAACCTTTGACAGTTTTTTTGACTGTATCGGCATTTATTTCGGCTTTTTCTACCTGTTTTATTGATGATTCCACTGAATCACCCTCAGTGGGATTACCATTGATCAATATAACCATAAATAAAACGATTACAATTGTTATCATAATGATTCGTTTCATTTTTTCTTGCTTATGATTATGATGATTAATCGACAATAATTAAAAAGAAATACGAATAGAATTTAAATTCGAATGATAACTTTGGAGTTAAATTAAAAAATTCAGAAAAAACGTCTAATATCTGTTCGAAGGTTTTGAAAATGAAAAGATGAAAAATTAATTCACGATTCAACGTTAAAATGGTTATGATGTTCGTTGTGCTGGTAATCAATTAAAGCAAATAATGTGATCTAAAACATTCAAATGACTCACTTTAGTTGTCCGGGTTTAATTGTATAACGACTGGATTGATTACTGAGCTGTTTTTTTTTTTGATATCACAAAAAATGAACAAAGTATATGCATGGATTGAATTGAATAATTATTTTTGTCTGATATTCAAACAACTCCTCTTATCAGCTATCAAAAAAAGGGGGAAGATAAATGTTTTCGAAATACACTTACACAATAACAGTGAATTGAATCTTGGTGTTTGTCTTCTGCAAATTTCAAACGTTATATATTCTGTGTTGTATGATGATAGTGAATTTAACCTTAACATATACACGCTTATCTTCCTATTTATATAAATATGAACACACATACGCCCTCCGCCCTGATATTATTATTATCATCATTTAAACAAATACATGATTTCTAGATGATCAAATTGCCCATTCTATTTTCATTAGTCGGTTTCATATATTTCCACAATATATACAGTTATTTTATCATCCTGTTCTAAACTTTTATGTTTACCATATGTTATCATTATATGAATAAATTTTTCTTCCATACATTTATATTCGTCGTTTTTTTTATTTGTAGCCGTTAAATAATCTAATCGCGAATTGGCGCATGTTTTAGTGTTTATCATTTTTTTCATATTCTGATTCCTAAGTTTTTGTTTTGTTTTTATCATAATCTCATTTTTTTTTCTTTATTATGCTTTGTTATGTTGTTTGGTTGAATTTGTTTGCTGGACAATTGTTTTTGTCGGATTAATCATAATCGTTGACAGGAAAATAAACCTAAGTGACATTTTTTCCATTCTCGTTATGTTTTTTTCCTAGATTTTATTTGTGAATATAAAGAATTTTATATTTTTCTTGTCATAGATCCTTTCATCAATCTATTGTTCAAATAAGCATATATAGTGAGCGAGAAAAAGAAAATGTAAGCCAAGACACAATTCTTCCATGGAAAAAAACGATTAAAATAATAATATAACACTCGGATAGTTTATGATTTTTTGTTTTGTTTTCAATCGTTATCATCATGTATAAGATGCTGATGATCATGATAACGAAATTTATTTTTGAAAATATAACAAAGGCAAAGCATTTATTATTATTCTTTTTTTTTTTTTTTTGACGACAAATCTCGGCACGCAATGGGAAAGGGAAAAATGTAAAAAAAAGCAGAAAAAAACAATAAAGAAA